GAGCGGGCGCCCCCCCGGACCAGGGACCTCCCTGTCTCCTGGGGGCCTCGGGGGTCCCAGCCTGGGCTTCGAGGTGCCCCTGCTCCCTGCACCCCCAACACCCCTTCCTCCGCCCCGCCCTCCCCAGGTTCCAAACGTCTCTAAGCGTCCCCCAGGACCTAGTTCACCGCCTAAGCGTGTGCCCACTCCCCTCGGAGCTGCCAGTGCCGTCCCGGTGCCGCGGTTCGATGAGCCCGCAGGGGGCGCCCTGCCGCCTCGGTGACAGCGGAAGAGATTGGGCCTGTGAAGGGCGGGACTTGCCCGGGTGTCCGCCTGTGGGTGGGATCGCGAACAGGCCTCAGGCTCCCAGGCCAAGCGTTGTGCCCACTGTACCCCGGTTTTCTTAAGCGAGTACGTGCAACACTAACCACGTCTTGTCAGATAAAACCACGCCCTGATGCACATTTATCCCGTTTCTGAGAGCACATACTCTGTGTTCCTCTGTATGCCTTGATTTTTAACAATTGAAAGAAAAGTAAGAAAATAGGTCAACAGTATAACAGGATTTCCCCCGCCCCCCCGCCCCCCAACCACCTTTTATTTAAGGGTGGCCAACCTTTTGAAAACGGAGCTAGTGTTTATATTCACCAGTGGGAGGAACCTGTCGGATGACCTCCATCCTTTTGGGGTGGCAATGGTTCGGGTGCGTCCCTCTGTCACCCTTGAGCCCTATCTGAGTGTTCACAGGGCATCATTTCATTGCGTTTTCTTTGGCGATCCTCACGCAAAAGGTTCCCAGCCACACAGGCCAGGGTACTCATGACTGCAATGACTTGCCTGTTCTCCCCTAGGTCCGCTGTTAACAACCTGCACACTTTTCCAAGAGCAGCAGAAAATGCATGAGCCCCAGGTGAGTTTTCCCACCTTGCTCTGTGAGACAGGTTGGGAAGTTTATAAGAGCCCACGCTTTCAACTGGGAACGTGGAGCTAGGTAAAAGACGGTGTGAAATGCAGTTCTGAGAGAGTCTAATTCACATGTCCAGGTAGTAGGATACTTCAGGGAGATCGAGGTTGAGCTGCAAATACAACCAGTGCCCTTGACCATCTTAGGAAAAGGAAAGTACCGCCCGCTGTGTGCTTTGTGTAGCCTATAAGAGACTATGTGGTTTGTTAGTTGTGGGTTGTAAAGATTTACTAGGACTTGGGAATTTTTCTTTAATAAAGTTGATACAGTGTGGATAGCTTTCATAATAGCAACCAGGAAGTCATTGCAATATATGGCTTGTACTCGGTTTTGTAAGCATAGGGCCTCCTGCCCTAGAGAACAATATCTTGGTTTTTTCAGGCACCAAAATAATTGTGATAGAAATAGATACATTTCCATTGTTAGTATTTAATCCAGGGATAACACCGAAGTCCAGGGGCACCGACCTGTTCGTCCTTTCGATGTTTCTGTTCGTCTGTTTATTGGGTTGCCCAGCAAACAATACAAAAAAGTATTCTCCAGTAAGGGCGCTCTCACTCCCCATTCCCGCTTCAGGCCTCAGGTCCTTGGCTTCGTCCTGCCCACTTGCCTGCATCTGTTGGTGAAGATTAGCAGTGACCTAATTATAGTCGAGTCCTGTGGACATTTGCCAGTCCTTTCCCTCACGTGACCATGCATCTGCCTGTGACATCTGTTTCTTCCAAATGATATTTTCTCCCCTTACCTGGCTTACAAAAAAAATTGACCTGTATATCTCAATGTATCTCTGAAGGATAAAGAGGCTTTCCACAGGTGGGCGGGGATAATGCACAATACTGCCTTTGTTATGTAAGATCCAGTGTCCAAATTTCAGTTTTCCAAATGTTGTTTTTTTTTAATTTGTTCTTTTCAATCAGGATACAAATAGAGGCCGTATGTTGCAGTTGACCTCTTTTAATGATAACTTTTCCTGTATGTCTCGTGTCATTTCTTTGAAATTTGTTTTCTGAAGAAATTGGGTTGTGCCCTGGCCCTTGTGGCTCAATTGGTTGGGCGCTGAGAGGTCGCTGGTGATTCCGGGTCAGGGCACATGCCTGGGTTGCGGGCTCAGTCCCCAGCGGGGGCATGCAGGAGGCAGCCGATGGACGTTTCTCTCTCCCTCTCCCTTCCTCTCTCTGAAAATCAATAAAAAGTCTTTAAAAAATGTTTAAAAAGTAAATTGGGGTGTTATCCCCAGTTTCCCCATGTGGACTGTGCTGAGTGCATTGCTGCCTGTTTTAACTTTGCTTTTTACATCCCCTGCACTCCTGGTGAAGTTGGTAGTTAGGTCTGGGCATTTCCTCAGGTTCAGGTGCAGTTCTTCTGGGAAGGCTGTGCTGCCCATGCCTTCGTCCTCTCCTGCTGGAGCCATATTGCCTGCCTGTCTCGGCTTGTGATGTGAGGTCTGTTGATTGACATCCGTTGCCCTGATCCACGAATTCACTAGGGGAGACCCGATGGTGACAAGCGTCTTCGCCGCTTCTTCTTCGTTTACGGCTGGGATACGCTTCTAAGAAGAGCCTCGCTCCGTCACAGGGAGGGACGGTTTCCAAAGCCCTGGGCCGGCCTGAGGGACAGGGCTCTGCGTCTGCGTCTGTCGTCTCTCTGAGCTCAGGGGTTAAATGGATTTGGTAGCGATTGAAGTTGTTACTCTTTTTGATGTTTCAGTGGCCCATCTTTGAATCCCTTCAGAGTAGTTCGGCACCTTTTTGAAACATTCCCTGTACATTTTAGAGTATTCTATTCAACATTTTATTTTGAAAAACTTCAAATTTACAGAACAGTCACAAGGATTGTACAAGGACTCCATGTTCCTGCTGCTGAGATGGTCCAGTTTCTGACATTTTTTAGCTTTTGCTGTATTATTTTCTCTCTGTGTGTGTGACATTTTTTTCTGAGTTATTTGAGAATGGTGTCAGATGTCATGCCCCCTTAACCTGTATTTCAGATTTAACTTCTAAGATCAAGAATATTCTCTTACATATTCCTGGCACAGGGACTGAATTTAGGCAGTTTAACATTGATATCATGCTTTTATCTAACCCACATTCACCTTTCGGTTTAGCCCGTTTCCCAGGATTTCCTGGTTTTAATTTCTGGCGGAGGCTGCGGTCCGGGATTGTGGATGGCATTTAGCCCGCTCTCCTCTCCTCGGTCTCAGTTCTCCCCCGGCCCAGGCTGGGCCTCGCAGGCCGGAGCTGTGCATTTCCATCTCATGAATGGCTAGTGTTTCCCATTAAAGAAATTCCTGACTTTAAAACTTGAGAGGACAGAAGCATACATATGTGTGCATGCGAGCATGTGTGTGTCTGTATAAATTTAAAAAGTGTACATGTGTGCTTGTGTGTGATTGAGATCGATATGTATATATGTATCACATACATATGCATATATCACCTACTATGCACATTATAAGACTTCGTGTGTAAATATATACATATATTCATGTTAGTGAAGTATCAACCCATTTCTATTTTCTGAGGGTTTTCTTTGTTAAATTCAGTGTGCATTTTGAATATTCCCAGAGGCCTATTCAGCATCTTTGCAGATACAAGATTTTCCTTCTGATCCGTACTCTAGTGGTTCATTATATTAATGGATTGCCAGGTATTAACCTAGTCTGAATTCCTGGAAAAAGTCCCATGTAGCTATTGTATGTGATCTCTTCAATCTGGTATTGAGTTCTGTTGCTGATACTTTGTTTTGGATGTTTGTGTTGGTATAAGTGATATTGGTATGCATGTTACTGACTGATGAAGCATCTTCTAACCCTACCCCGCCTGGCCTTGCGGACTAGCTTAGGCCAGAAGGTTACTGCCTCCTCCCGGGGATTCGATAGCTCACCGGGCTGGTCCTTGGACTCTCCTGGGTGATGTCCTGCTTTGCTGTCAGGCGGCTCTGCCTCCGCCGCCAGGGCAGCGCAGCTGTGGGACCCACAGTGGGGCCCTGTCAGCGGTCTAGACCTTTGTTAACGCAGCCTTTGCAAATAGTAGGAGAATGGAGCTCTTTACTGAGCACTTCCCTCCAGAAACAGGACTTAAATGTTCGCAGTTCCTCCAGCTGCTCCTAAGAGCACTGGGCTCCGGCCTGCGGGTCTCCTGCGGCTCCGTGGCCCGCGCTCCTCTTCGCTGGCGCTGGGGTTCCAGTGGAGAAGAGCGGGCACGCTGTAGGCAGCTGTTTTATTAGAGAAGGCGTCCTCTCGCTTTTCTGAAAGCGCCTTAGAGTATCGCTAAGTGTCCATGATAGTTTGACTTGGTACACAGTTCTAGGTTCAGAAGCGTTTCCTTTTAAAAGTTGTCGGCTGTTCTCCAGGAGAAACAGTGTCAGTTACTAAGGCTCGGGTATTTTTTCCTCTGTCATGTTTTGGATTTTCCCTCATCCTCTGGGCTATTTTATCAGGGAATTTCCCATCTCTGTCCTCCGCCCAGTGTTCTCCTTTGGGTGTGAGACGGCCCCCTCGGAGCGCAGGCGAGCCTGAGCCTTCAGCTCAGGAACCCGTTTCCGCTCTGCCTGTAGCATTTCCTGTGGCTCCTCCACATCCGTCTTCCTGAAAATGTTGAACCTGTTGGGTCTGGCTTTCTCCTCTCGGGTTTTCTGTCATCATTTCAGTTTCTGATTTTCTGAGAGCCTGCCTCACATACATTCTGTCTCATTTGTTATTCAAGCTTCTGACTTGAGGATCTTGAAAAAATTCAATAACACAGCCTCTAATTTCTAAGTATTCTCTGGTGGCTGTTTCTTAGCAAACTGTTCTCATTTGTGGAAGCAATATGTTGCTTAATTTATTAAAAATATAAATCAATACAAAATGTAAATTTATTAAAAATATAAATAAAAAAAATATATATATATATAAATCAATATAGCTATATAAGATGCTTTCTTTATGAATTTATTCTATTGTGGCTGGGTTACTCATTCTGATGTTTATCTCTTATTTATACTGTTTCCCTCAGCTGCTGATTTTTGACGTTTTTAATTTCCGTTTTGGAGGTAATAATTGCTACCGCTAGCGTGCATGTGTCGGCTAAGAGCCCGTTTGGCTCCTCTCCCCTGTGTGGAGGGAAGGGCTGCAGCAGGGATGGGAGGGATATGTGTCTAATTCGGTTGGTATCACATCATTTTCCCCTCAATTTTTCATTGTGTAAAATACACACAACACAAAATTCGCTGTCTTCACCGTCTGTAAATGCTGCAGTGCAGTGGCATTAGTGCATCCACATTGTTGTGCGGCCATTACCGCCATCCGTCTCCAGAATGCTTCTCGGCTTGTTAAACACGAACTCCCCATCTCCCCAGCCCCCGGCAACCTCCCTCCTGCTGCCTGTCTGTGATCTGACTCCCCTAAGGGCCTCGGGTAAGGGGAATCGTAGTGTTTGTGTCTTTGTGATTGGAGTGTTTCACTTCGCATGTGTCCTTGAACTTCATTCGTGTTGTACCACCTGTCAAAGTTTCCTTCTTTTTAAGGCTGAATAATGTTCCATGTGTGCGCAGACCACGTCTTGCTTGTCCATTCATCCGGTAGTGGACACTTGGTTACCTCCCCATGTTAGCCGTTGGACTAATGCTGCTGTGCACAAGGTGTACACATACCTCTTCAGTCCTTGCTTTCCGTTTTTTGGTGTAGACCCAGAGGTGGGCTGCTGGGTCATGTGATCGTTCTGTTTTTGAGTTTTTGAGGAGCCGTCATACTGTGTCCACAGCCGCTGCCCCACTTCACGCCCCAGCAGTGCACAGGCTGCAGGTTCTCCTCACTTGTGTTTGGCCGAGCTGGCGTGCTCGGCGGCTTCCTGTGGGCTGGTTTCCTGAGCGTTGGCTCTGTGTCCTGCTTTGCCTGAGATGGTCCTGGACTAACTCTGCTTGGACAGTGAGTATGTCGTCACCCTAGTTAGGGGTCTGGAGTGTGATGTACCCCATGCGTGGCCACGGGTTCACCGGATTCAGCTTCATCTGGCTGCTCTGCGCACAGAGCAGGAAGCGCGAGCTGCCCGGTGTCCTGTGGCTGGTTTCAGTCGGCCAGGCGCTGTGCCCCACGGACCTCTTGCTGGGCCTGGGGGTGCTCGGGGCTCTGTGGGCGAGTCCGCTGTCACCTGGGCTGCGGCCCCGCACCTGCCTGTACACGTGTCCGCAGCTCTGGTTTCTCGTCTACTCGACCCCGCATCTCAGGGATTGATTCCTCAGGAGCGCCTGCTCTTGTAGCCAGTGTGCCCGGTGCTCCTGGGAGGGTGGCTCCGCCGGCATATTTCTCAGAATTGGGCTTTTGGGTTTGTCTTGGGCAGGAAAGTAGTGGTGTGTGCTCAGCTGACCCTCGAATTAGAATCCCTTCCTGCTGTGAACCAGCTGTCCTAGCGAAGGGCCCTCGTGCCCCTGCCGTGCCAGCCCTGGCACTGCTGCCGCTTCTGTGTTTGCCACGGGCACTCCTCGCCCCTCCTCCTCTTCCTTCTCCCCCTCCTGTGGAATCCCCAGCAGAGCCCGGGAGCCTGAGCTGCAACAGGAAGTGACAATAATTTGCTTCTTGCCGAAACCGGTTTGGCTCCGTGGATAGAGCGTCGGCCTGCGGACTGAAGGGTCCCAGGTTCGATTCCGGTCAAGGGCATGTACCTGGGTTGCGGGCACATCCCCAGTAGGAGGTGTGCAGGAGGCAGCTGATCGAAGTTTCTCTCTCATCGATGTTTCTAACTTTCATCTCTCTCCCTTCCTCTCTGTAAAAAATCAATAAAATATATTTTTAAAAAAATAATTTGCTTCTTGCATACATCGCTCGAATAACACCTCGGGCACCGTGCAGACACAGATACTCCTGTTGAGAGCAGGTGGCGCTGAGCTACAGCGGGAGGCGGGAGAAAGCTCAGTGGGCAGAGAGCCGGCTGAGACGGAGTCAGAGGCTCCGAGCTGGCAGTGGAGGGGGGAGGAGGAGACCGGGGAGGGTCCGGGCGCCAGCACCAAGAGGCAGGGAAGGGAGGAGCCGCCGGCAAAGGCGCCTGAAGAAACTGAGGAGGGATAGGGGTGTGCTCATTCCCTGCTGCCTCCGGATCCGGGTGTAGCTTTCTGAGAGCAGGAGCGCAGCCCCCAGACTCAGTTACTTCCATCGCAAAATCAGAAAACAGTCTCTTTTTGGTTTGAGGGTTTTGTTATTTTTTGACACAAGAAGGAACCCAAATGCCATGCGTTTCTGACATGGTTTCCCTCCCACAACCTGCAACATCAAAGGGTTACAGGGCTCCTGGTTGCCTTGACCAGTGAGCTCGGTAAGCTCTTGTTCCTGGACGCCTTGTCCCTGTCCCCAATTCCCATCGCGCTGCCATTACAGGAGCCAGTGTCATTCAGGGACGTGGCCGTGGACTTCACCCAGGAGGAGTGGCAGCAGCTGGGCCCGGAGCAGAAGACCACCTACAGGGACGTGATGCTGGAGAACTACAGCCACCTCATCTCCGTGGGTGAGCAGAGCGGCTCCCTGGACTGTGGGGGGGCTTCTGTTCAATGGCTTTATCTCAAGTTTGAAGAAATAGGTGATAAGACCATTGAATTCCATTTGGGCACCAGGGAGCGTATTTTTATCTCTGCTTCTCCATCAGAAAGTTCTAACTTTGGCCCTGGCTGGTGAGGTCAGTAGTTAGAGGTTGGCCTGTGCACCAGAGGGTTGTGGGTTCGATTCCTGGTCAAGGGCACATACATACCTTGGTTGCAGATTCGATCCCTGGCCCCTGTTGGTATGTATGGGAGGCAACCAATTGATGTGTGTCTCTCTCTCCCCGTCCCATCCATTTTCTCTAAAAATCAATGGAAAAAAATATCCTCGGGTGAGGATTAACAAAAAATAAATAAAACAAAAGTTCTTCCTTAGATAAGGTGCAAAAAGCCACCTTACTGTGCAGCCTCTGAGGCAGGAGCAGCTGCTCCAAGCCGGTCTCCTTTCCCGCCACAGGGTACGACAGCACCAAGCCCAGTGTGATCGTCAGGTTGGAGCAGGGAGAGGAGCCGTGGGTGGCAGAAGGTGGCTCTCCGTGCCAGGGTTGCCCAGGTGAGTTAGCAGAATATCCCACTTTCAGAAGTGGGCCCCAGGCCCGAGGGAGTGCCAGGCGGTGTCTCGGTGCCTATGCCCAGGTCACAGCTCCGGGCCCCAGAGGGAGCTCTCCCTCCCACATGTGTCCAGTTTCTTTGTGCGTGTCCACGTGATTTCCACGCTGAGGAGCCGGTCTCTCCTCTGGCTCAGTGACTAAGCCACTCCCATTAGCACAGATTCCCCAGGGCGTTCAGAGCCTGACAGAGTCTCCTCGAGACTCACATGTTCTTCCTGCCTTCACTTCTCTCCTTCCTTGTGAAATGCCTCAGGCTCGTGTTCTTTCCCCAGGTTCCCTGCCCGCCCCGTGCACTCACAGGCCAGCTCCGTGTCCTCTCCCGGAGCTCCGAGGCCAGCCACCCCTCAGGGCGGTGCCTGTGCTGTTTGGAGAAGCTGACTCCTCCCTAGCTGCACCCTGGGCTGATTGGGGGCCGCGACACTGGCCAGCTCCTCCTCCCCCCTCGCTCGCTCCTGGTCTGTCTGCGGCTCCTGTGTGCGCAGCAGCCGCTCGGGAAGGGTGTCATCGGCGGGATCGGTTCACCCTCCTGCCTTCCTCAGGAGTGCTGACCCTGGACCTGCTTCCCACACCTTTACTTTTCTTTGGATCCTTAAAAGGGTTCCTGTAGTCCCCACTGTTAGGACTTTGAACTTGTATTTATGCTGTGCATCCAGCTGACACCTAACCCTTCACCTGTGGTCCAGTGGACGTTTCCCTGACAGATGCCAGTGCCAGCGGGACTGCCGCTTCCTCCCTTCTCAGAAAGAGCCCCTCAGGTCACCGGTGCTGTGGTCTTGCCCGCCTCCCTTTGCTTATGGCATGTCCAAGTGTGACTAGGAACATGACAGGCTCGCGGGTGGCAAGGAGCCAGCTTGCCGAAGCAGCGGGGGTTTGGGAAGCCCAGTGCAGTGCTGGTTTGAACGGATGCTGTGAATCCAGGCAATGAAAAATCTTACTGGTGAATGGCAACTTCTCAGATTTTTCCTGTTTGTATTTGGGGCTTTGGGCTCAGGATGTTGTAGGTTTCAGAGCAGATTCTAGGTATTGCGGTGAGTGTGGGTGAGAGTGGCTAATAGTAGTTTAGAGGATCCCATAATCTGTAAGATGCCTACATTGAAGTTCCTACTTTAGGGGCAACTTTTGGAATCTAATATTTAAGGTTTTACACCAAATGACGCTTGGGAGAAATAGATTATATTAATTTTAACTATTACTTGTATTGAGAATTGAGCTATGGTGTTGTGTCAGGGACATGACTGGTTTTAGGAAGTTTAAATCAGAAAATTGAAAGAGAATTAATGGTGAGACTTAATGAGCATTTGTTTTGTGTCCAACCATTGTAAGCAGATGACATGTGCTAATGAAATCAGTCTGTTCCCCACCCTGTGGCTTAGGCACTATTGCCCACATTTCAGTGAGCCTGCATCACAGCTGTCACTGCTCAAGGTCCCCAGCTTGTAATGTGTTTGTGTTGGGGCCCCAGTGCCCCTGACCACTGCACTCTGCTGTGCAGACAGGATCACTGAGTGTTAATAAGACTGCAAACCCTTCGGAGAGCTGATCTTCCTGGAAGGCCTCTTGCCGTTGGTCTTTCTTATGTCGTTGGGACATTTATGTGTCAGGGAACCCTCCTTCCTGGTGACTGTGATCAAGGCGAGGGAGTGGGGCCCTGGTTGTGGGACTGTCTCTGAACATGAGGAAAATGGAGCTTTTAGACTGTTCTTTGGATTTCTGTGCAGAATAGAAAACGGCAGAGATTTTGGAAGGAGCTCTGCTAGTGAGGATGTCACTGTGGTAATCTTGTTGTGGAGTGATTTTACAGTTTAATATAAAATTAATATAACCTATTTCTCCCAAGCGCCATCCATCCGTGAATGTTTCCTTTGAATATACATCTAGTCGTTGTTGTTCTCCCACTGCCTCTACTCTGCCTGGATCTAGCACTCTTTCAGGGCCTGTGTTCTCTGCTCACCACTTGTGCTTGTTTATTTTACCTTTTATACCAGAGTTTTGAACATATTTGTAAAGTAACAAAGCTACTTGTATTCAAAGTGAAATTATCCTTCCTTTATCCACTAACACTGAGTCCTACCCCACCCTTATCCTTTCCCCATGACTCCCCTAGCTCTACCTGTGTGTGTGTGTGCGTGTGTGTGTGTCTGTCTGTCTTGAATGACAAATCAAGGGAAAAAGAGGATTATACACTTGGTAGTTATTTTTTATTTGTGGAAATTGGCCTAAAAGCCAAGAGTTAACCCCACAATAGGGTACTTGAGTACCACTTCTATTCTGTAGCTGGTACATTCAGATTCACAAGGTTTATTTAACTTTATTCCTTTTCAGAAAAAATCAAGAAAGTTGATGATATATTAGAAAGAATCCAAGAAAATGAAGATGAATGTTCAAGGCAAACTTACGATATCAATAGTAAAACCTTAATTGAAGAGAGAGAGAATACATTTGATAAAACTTATAACACAGAAGCAAACTTTGTTCCTTCAAGCATATCTCATAGTTGTGTCTCTTGTGGAAAAAATATAGAATCTAATTCAGAATTAATTATTAGCGATGGAAGCTATGCAAGAAAGAAGTCTGATGAGTGTAGTGAATGTGGGAAAACACACCATGGAGAGAAACCTTATGAATTTAATCAAAATGGGGAAGGCTTTTCTCAAAATGAAGAAAGTATTCTTCAGAAAGTTAATATTTTAGAGAAACCCTTTGAGTATAATGAATGCATGGAAGCCTTAGACAATGAAACTCATAAGAGAGCTTATATCGGGGAGAAGCCCTGTGAGTGGAGTGATTCTGGACCAGACTTTCTCCAGATGTCAAATTTTAATGTGTACCAGAGATCACAGATGGAACTGAAGCCCTTTGAATGCAGTGAATGTGGGAAATCCTTCTGTAAAAAGTCAAAATTCATTATACATCAGAGGGCTCACACAGGAGAGAAACCTTATGCGTGTAATGTATGTGGCAAATCCTTCAGCCAAAAGGGAACCCTCACTGTACATCGGAGATCACACTTAGAGGAGAAACCCTATAAATGTAACGAATGTGGGAAAACCTTCTGTCAGAAGTTACATCTCACTCAACATTTGAGAACTCATTCAGGAGAAAAACCCTATGAATGTAGTGAATGTGGCAAAACCTTCTGCCAAAAGACGCACCTCACGCTCCACCAGAGAAATCATTCAGGGGAGAGACCCTATCCGTGCAATGAGTGTGGGAAATCCTTCTCCCGCAAGTCAGCCCTCAGTGACCATCAGAGAACACACACAGGAGAGAAACCTTATCAATGTAGTGAGTGTGGAAAATTCTTTTCTCGAGTGTCATACCTCACTATACATTATAGAAGCCATTTAGAAGAGAAACCCTATGAGTGTAATGAGTGTGGCAAAACCTTCAATTTGAATTCAGCCTTCATTAGACATCGGAAAGTACACACGGATGAGAAACCCCTTGAATGTAGTGAATGTGGAAAGTTTTCTCAATTCTCATATCTTAATGACCATCATACAACTCCTTTAGGAGAGAAACCCTATCAATGTAATGAATGTGGGAAAACTTTCCTTGAAAATTCAGCCTTTGACGGACACCAGTCAATTCCAGAAGGAGAGAAATCCTATGAATGTAATATATGTGGGAAATTGTTCTCCGATTTATCATACTACACTGTACATTATAGAAGTCATTCAGAAGAGAAGCCCTATGGATGTAGCGAATGTGGGAAAACCTTCTCCCATAATTCATCCCTCTTTAGACACCAGAGAGTACACACAGGAGAGAAGCCCTATGAGTGTTATGAATGTGGAAAGTTCTTTTCTCAGAAGTCGTATCTCACCATACATCATAGAATTCATTCAGGAGAGAAGCCTTACGAATGTAGTAAATGTGGAAAAGTCTTCTCTCGGATGTCAAACCTCACTGTACATTATAGAAGCCATTCAGGAGAGAAACCCTATGAATGTAATGAATGTGGAAAAGTCTTTTCCCAGAAGTCGTACCTCACTGTGCATTACAGAACTCATTCAGGAGAGAAGCCCTATGAATGTAATGAATGTGGGAAAAAATTCCACCACAGATCAGCCTTCAACAGCCACCAGAGAATCCATAGGCGGGGGAATGTGAATGTACTCAATGAGGGAAATCTGTGAAAGTCAGACCTCGTTTTAGAAAAACCTTCTGAATAATGATTTGGAGTCAGATATCATGATCTGAGAGTTCATATGTTGAATGGGGAAAAACATTCAGACATTAGGTTCATTTTCATCTGACTTCACAGAGGAGAGTCTCTAAGAAGGCAACAGGAAAAAATGCCTTCAGAACATGCTACAACTCATTGGACACTAGATAATTTATACTGGAGTCAATTTTATAAGTATTTAATATTTATTTTGGATTAAAGTTGTATTTACATATCAGGGAGTCATACCAAGGCAAAATCTGTCAAAATTGATAAATGTGGAAAAATATTTTGTCTTGGAAATTATTATACCAAAAGCCATATTTCTGATGTAAAATCACATGTTTGTAGGAAAGAAATCAGAAGCTATCACCTCTAAACCTTTATTGTATAAAATGAAGTTTTCAAACCATCAGGACTCGATAATAAGGTCAGTAGCGTTAAATACTTATATGGAAGTTTCTATCATGTTTTAAAAATGCAATCTAATAATTCTATGCAAGTTTGGATTTGAATAATTTATGAAAAGGCAGTATTCTTATTTGAGTATTAAAATGTCAGAATGTTGGTGAGATGTTCGACAGGTAAAGAATAGTTAAGTGCATAAGTTTCTATTCTTTTGATGCACTTATAAATGGGTTTCTAATAAATGCCTCACCAATAGTGATTTTTGTATTTTTCAACTACATTTGAGCAAAAAAAGGTTTTAAAACACACTATTTTCATAAACAATAGTTAAGGACAACTCTGCTGCTCTTGCTCTACAAAATATGCCCAGTGCTCATCACACTCCTGTTTTTACCCACACGTTTGTGCAGCGTGCCAGTATTATGTAACTCAGAGACGTTATCTATGCTTTTATTTGATATGAACACAGTGTCATTATTTTGTGCACTGCCCTTATTTCCAGTGTCTTGGAAAAATTAATACAATTTCTAGCAGACATTTTTTTTTATTAACTCGATGTCCTTGCTCCTCTCTTGCCTTGATATAAGAGTTTGGTGTCTATCATTTCTTAACATGACTCAGAGGGTAAGTCCTGATTAGTCGTGATAATCCATTTTGATTGCCTGTAGCTCTTTCATAGTGGTTGTGTGACCCTTCCTGGGCAGACAGAGTGATCGGGTTTAATCATGAAAAATCAGTAACCGTGACACCACATGAAGGAAAGTAATCTAGCAGGCAGGAAACAAATGTGGTGACATTGCCATTCACCTGTGTTCTTAGCAAACTGGGTAGAAAGGAGCTTCTTTAGTGGGATACAGAGTATCCTACACTTTAGTCAGCAACATGCTTAGTGGCGAAATATTGAAAGTTTTCTCCCAAGATAACAAAAACAGACAGGATATCTACGATCACTAATTTTATTCAGTATTAGTGACCTGGTGCACCGATTCGTGCACATTGAAAGGAAATTAATTAGAAGGTGGTTGAGACAGGCCGGACACACCCTGGAGCCAACTTCCTGTGATTCCTCCTGACATCTGCAGAGTGAGCAGGGTCCCTCCAGCAGGTGGGGTCCCTCAGCCTGGCCTGCAGGGATCGGGCTGAAACTGGCTCTCCGACATCCCCCAAGGGGTCCCAGAGTGTGAGAGCACTCTGCAAAGTTGCTGTCGTACATGCTATGGAACGCAAACGCAAGTGTACAGTAAACCAGATTCAGGGACAACAGTGCCCCAGCAAAAGCATAACCCACAGCTGAAGGAAGAATCGCATGGCTCCCAGAAGAATTGGGCTCCCCCTCTCTGGTTTCAGGGCGTGTCACCTGAGAACCGCTACTGCCAAGTCACTGCAGCTCGGCAGTTCCTGTGTTGAGCATCTGCCCCCCGGTGGTCAGTGCGCGTCATAGCAAACGGTCGGATGGGTGGAGGGACACTTAGCATATTAGCCTTTTATATATAGGTAATTGGGCAGAAGGACCTAGCCAAGAAAGTGAATGAAGTGAAACTTCTATTGCAAATGATGATTTTGTATGTACAAAGGCTGAGGATTATACAGATAATTAGAATTAATGAGTAAAGTCAGCAAGGTCCTTGCATACAAATTCATTAAGAAAAATTGCTTTAATATACCAGCAGTAAACATAGAAAATGAAAAATTTGGAAGCAATACCACTTACAGTAGCATCAAAAATCCTGAAGTGCCTAGGGGAAAGCTTACCTAACCATGCTTTCAAGGTAAAAACAACTGCAAAACAGAGAGGCATGCCTGGTTTATGAGTTCCAGAACAGTTACTTCATGTGGTCCTCCCATCCACCCCCTGAAATAGTTAGTGAAAAGCATGGGACAACATCACGTGTGGGCAAGAATGTTAGGAACAGGAAGTCCATGCTGCCGCTGGCGTTGCCAATTGCTAGAACCATTTTTGGAAAGCCAGCACTTCAAGCCGAATGCTTTTCCCAAACAGCAGAAACGTCGGATGTCCACCAAGGGACATGGACTGGAATGTTCGTGGTTTACAACGGAAAACCCAGAGCTCTCTGAAGGCATATGTGCAGTAGGTGAATGAACTTCAGTGGTGTATTTCCACTCAGAATGCTGTAAAGCAGAGAATTAACACACCATGATGTAGCTTAGTTTCACAAATACGGTCAAATGACAGAATCCATACAAAAGCGATCATTGTGTGTGATTCCTATTTACAATAGGAGCAGGCAAACTGGTCTAAGCACTTAGACAGCAGGAGACCTTTTGGCCTGGGCACAGGCTGGGGGAGCAGGGTTCACCGGTGATGTGCGTTCTATTTGAAATGTGGGTGCTGAATATCCCAACGTTGTGTGCACACGGGACTTGTGTGTTGTGTGTCTGCATGTGTGTAGACTTCCATAAAGAGTTTTAAAATCCCAGATGTCTACCATTTCTGTTGCTCAGCACTCTTGCCATATTTTTCTAGACGAGTATGAATATGCAGAACAGGAAGTACATGGTAGATTTTGCATAATTCCGTGCAGGAAATACTCTTTATAGTAGTTTCCATGGCAACTGCTAAAATTTCCTACACTGTGACCATAAAGCTTAATGACTATAGTGTATATTTTAAGTAAAATATTTGAAAGGTGACGGGTCATTACATATTTTGTCATCCTACCCTTTGCATATATGAGTGGGTCTGAACTGCCTCTTCAATAAAAAACTAATGTGTGTAAACGTTTCCTGTTTTCTCAAATTGTTCACACTTCCGAGAACAGGATGCATCCTTTCCCCATCACAGAGGTGACCTTTCTTCGAGGTAAATAAATATAGTGGTCAGTTTGATGTAATGGAAAAATGTATATTTAAAAGGTTTCATGTAACCCTTTCAGTACACAGTTATCAGCACCAATGTGAGTAAAGGAAAAAGTTAACTAAGACTTTGCACCATAAAAAATATATAGGTAGAGCTCTTGCCCTAGCCAGTTTGGCTCAGTGGATAGAGTGTCAATCCACGAACTGAAGGGTCATGGGTTCGATTCCCGGTCAAGGGCATGTACCTCGGCTGCAGGCTCGATCCCCAGCCCTGGATAGGGACGTGGGAGAGGCAATCAATGTGTCTCTTATTGATGTTTCTCTCTGTTTCTCCCCCTCCCTTCCACTCTCTCTAAGAATCAATGGAAAAATATCCCATGGATGATAATTAACAAACAAAAAAAAAATTAAGCCCTTGCTCTGGCCAGATGGCTCAGTTGGTTGGAATGTCGTCAAAAATAGAGCTCTTGATTGGGCTCAGCTGATGGCACAGGTGACATTTGCTGGAGCGTGTACTTGGTTTTATCTCACCTTCCTCTCCTGCCTGAGCGGGAAGTGTGAACAGAGGAGCTGCGCCCCCTGCTCGGGGAGGGGTCAGCGGCGGGAGCAGGTCTGATCCCAGAATTGGCTGCCCGTTCCTGGTCCAACTTACCCAGGAGGCGCGTGGTCCCGCAAGGCCGCTGCTCCTTCCGCACAGCCCACTCCTGTCATCACGATGGCCCCTTGTCCATCCCCATATTTACTGCTACCCAACTTGGGGTCAGTTAACCTTTCCACTTTGTCTCTAAAGTCTCTGAAATGGATCAAAAAACAGTGCAAGGCCGCTTATGACTGAGGACAAAAGTTCACCCACTGTTTTGCTCCGTCCCAAATTATGCAGAAATGTTGTTGCCCACGCGGCCTTCACAGAGGGGAAATGTGTGACCTACAGGCTCCCAAGTTAAACCAGATGCCGCCGCAGAGAAACGAAGCAAAATGTGCAGTCCCTCCTCCCTATTGCCTCAGTGGCAGGCGCGGCAAAGAATTCCCCTTCACACGAGAGTATAGCTCCTGGCAAATTGGTGAACTGCCATCGACTTGCTGCCCTGTGAGCCCAGGGAGTGGAGTGGAAACAGTGTCAAAACTCCCCAGAGGGAAGGCTCTCAGTGGAGATGTAGCACCTGGGAGTGAAGAAACGTGCGTGTAGCGTGGCCTCTGCTGAGCAGAACTTGGAAAATGCACCCTTTTCTCCACGCATGCGCCCGGCAAGTCACTGCGGCCCTGCGGACGGGTGGACCCGGAGGAGGAGCGCCCGCTCAGTGCTGCGCCCCTGCGCGTGCG